AGAGAGAGAGAGAGAGAGAGAGAGAGAGAGAGAGAGAGAGAATATTAGGTTTTCTCGGGGATGAATCCCTTGATTGGATCCAATACCAAGTGGTCAACATTGGACACATACATGCGGGCAACACTAAACAGATTCAGCAGGCTGTATTCCTGTTTGTTTGTTTATATGTGTATGTAACAGTGATTAAAGAAAAGGAGGCTGTGAATTTGGGAGAGAGGTTGGGAGGGGTGGACACTGGAGGGACAGTAAGGGGGAAAGAGTGGAGAATGATGTAATTATATTTTAATTAAATTTTAAAAGAAAAAAATCACAAGGACTGGTGAGGGTGTCACAAGATGACTCACTGGGGAAAGGCACCGTCTGCCAAACCTACCACCTGAATTTAATTCCTTCGTTCCACACAGTGGAAGGAGAGAATCAACTCCACTAAGCTGTCCTCTGACCTTTATAGATACACTGTGATACACACACACACACACACACACACACACACACACACACACACACACACACACGTGTGCACACTTAGATGTCCATAAATAAATGTGAGAAAATGGCTGGTGACAGTGTGAGGAGAGAGGAGCCCATGTTGACTGCTGGTGTCTTCATCTGGGTTTTGGTGTCAGACTAATACTGCATCATAAAATGAGCTTGGAAACCTTTCTTCCTGCTATTTCATGGAACAGTTTGGGTAATGTAAGTGTCAATTCTTCTCTAAGTTCTGGTAGGCTTCTGCTGTGAATCCATCTGCTTCTGGGCATATTTTAGGTAGGAGACTTTATTTTAATACTGCTTCAATCTTGTTGCTGGTTATGAATCAGTTTAAGTACTTTTCTTCTCAGCTTAATTGTGCCACATCATATGCATTTCGAAAGTCATCCATTTATTTTAAATTTTCCCATTTACTGGCATAGAGGTTTTTAAAGTATGTTCTTATGGCTTTCTGAATTTCGTCGGTTTGTTGTCAATGTCTCCCTTCTCAAATTCAGGTTTCGTTTTGTTTTGTTTGTTTTGGTTTGTCTTGTTGGGTTTTTTTTGGGGGGGGGCTCTTCTCTCTCTTTTTGGCAGTCAGATTGGCCAAGAATTTGTCAGCATTGTTTATCTTTTCAAAAACAAGCTTTGTCTTATTCATTCTTATATTTTATTTTTCCTGAAACAAGGTTTCTCTGTGTAGCCCTAACTGTCCTTCAGCTCACTTTGTAGACCAGGCTGGCCTTGAACTCAGAGATATGCTAGCGTCTACCTCCTGAGTGCTGGGATTCAAAGTATGTGCCACTATGCCTCGCCCTTTCTTTGTAATTTTAACGTCTGTATTTCATTAATATCTGCTCTGATATTTGAATGTTTCTTCTCATCTACTGTTTTAGTTTTAGTTATGATTTTTCTTTTCCAAGGGTAAAATCATTATTAAATTTAATGCATCATTAAATTACTAATTTGAGATCACTTGTTTTTGATGTAGGCACTGAGCACTATAAGCTTTCCTTTTGGACTGCCTTCATTATATCCCAAAGATTTTGGTATGTTGTGCCTTCATGTTCATTCAATTCTAGGAATCTTTTATTTCCTTATTGATCCCATAGTGATTAAATCATTATCTGATACTGTGTTGAACAGTCTCCATGAGTTTGCCTACTTTGTTCAGCTTCTATTACTATTGATACCCATCTTTTTCTATCCTGGTCAGATAGAATACACAGGTTATTTCAACTTCCAATATTTGTGGAGAGAGTGTCTTAATATGTCCTCAGTTTTGGAGGAATTTCCATGGGCTGCTGAGAAGAATGTATCCTTCCACACAGCTATCATTCAAATTGGAAGGAAGGAGAAAACATGATCCTGGGCTTTTGAACATGACAAACACCATGACCCATGGAAGCAAGTGAGGGTTTCCAACCCTAGGCAGCCATAGGGAGGAGCTCCTGTGGGACGACAGTGACGGGGGTGGGAGGTGACAGAACATCTGCACATCTGGAGAGGTTGGTGTTCCACTAGGAGTATTACCATCGGGAAGTTACTTGGGAAACTGGGCAACGTAAAAGCAGTTTCAAACTCTAATCCAAACAAGAGTTACCTAGGTGTCACGTCAAAGTGGTTCAGTGGCCTGGGTGGGACCTGGAGCTGGATTTCTGACAAGGTCTATGTATCTGTCCATGCTGCCTTCCTGAATTCTGTGTGTGTGTGTGTGTGTGTGTGTGTGTGTGTGTGTGTGTGTGTGTGTGTGTGTTGCATAAGTGCATGCATGCCACATTAACTCCCCTACAGTAGATAATCGAGTGCCTGTGCAGATGAATCCTTCACTGCGTGTGCAGGCAGTTCTGCTCATAGGCTGCAGCTGAGGCATCTCAACCACTGCATCAGAAGGAGCTGGTGGACGGGAGGTGTGACCAGAGCCTTAGCCTGGTGTCTTGGAGGATTCTGGAATCAGTTTTCTTACTTTTAGACTCCAATTGCTTTGAAAGACAAAGATTGGTCTTTAAACCTGCTAGGAGATAGGGTAGAGGTGGAGATGCTCACACTGCTTCTGAAGAACAGAGGGAAGGGACGGAGAAAGAATGTCAAGCACTGACAAAATCGCAGTCACAAATGTCTCTGAGGCCCATGTTCACCTGGCAGAGTCAAGCATGTGCCATCTCCAAATAATGCCCGTGGTTCATGAGCTACTTCAGGCTTGAAACCCTTGGGTCTGTAACTTCAGGAAGGGCCCCTGAGCTCTCTTTTCCTACATGCGGGGACCTGTGACAGTCCTTTGGGAGGAGGACAGACACAGCTCTGATCACAGGAGGCTGCTGGTGAGGCTGTCATGGAGCACAGGATCTCTGCAGGAACCCTGGACTTGTGCTAGCCTTTCCGCTGCCCCTCCTAAAACGTGCCCCAAGTTCATCTTCTAACTCTCAGATCTGTGTGTCCTATCTTCTTTCACAAACGCATTGTCCCTTGTCTTAAACTCCTGTGACATCATGGTTAGGATCTCATCTCTTCTAAAGATCTCCGTGTACATGGAATTTAATAGAAGGTCACATGTATTAAAGTTGGTGACATGCTCCTCAAGGCTGCCCCTGAGCTGAACTCTAGACCAGGCATGGGAACTCAGAACCAAGCCCTGGAGAGCTCCTTGCTCAGGGCTCCACACTGTCTGGACAGGGCCCTGATGGAGGAAGCACAACATGTCCAGAGGATGGAGAGGAGTAGGCCCAGGTGAAGAAATGGTTTGTGCAGGACCTGGGCTGCAGAGGAAGACTAAAGTACAGGAGCTAGAAGAACAGGGACTCAACATGAGCCCAGGGAAATGGCCTGGGACAGGCAGGCAGCTGAGGGCTTCCTTCCTTTCAGGGCTGGGACAATAAACTCAGTTTTAAGGCAACAGCAGTCCTCAGCGGCACTCCTGATTCAGCCCTTGCTGTGCACTTGATATCTCCCCGTTCTCTCGAGCAAGTCTTCCCATTGCTCTCCTGGGACACTTGACTTCCCACAGGTTTGTTTCTTCCTCTGCCATAAGCTGACAGCCTGTGACAGGGACTCTTCATGGGCAGTGTTCAAACTCATCCCTGTAACTGAGACTGATGCCTGGACCTGAGATCCTGTGCTGGTGCACATGAGCATCACCCTGAAGGGCAGCACTGCCAATTTGTCATCTGTTTTTAGAGAAGTGCAGTGCCTCTAGAGGATTGAAATCCTAAAGTTGAAGAGAAATTAGCAGTGCATACCAAGATAAAAGAGCCCAGCCCTGGAAATTGGTAAGGTATGTGTAGGGTCTGAGGAAATGCTGAAGAAAGACCCCAGAGTCAAATAGTATTTAAGAAAAGAGAGCATTTATTTCCCAGCATGAATGTGGGGTTGCTCACCTGCACAGGATGGCAATGACCCCAAGAGGGATGTGTAGGCTCCTTTAAAGAACAGCTAAGGGGAGTTTCAGGGTCAACTACATAACTGGTTAAGCAAGCAGCATTTACGTTGGTATATTTCTAATTGGCTGAGGATTAGTCTTACCATTTTGGACACATCTGTACAAGCTTGGACATGACTCAGAAGGGGCTGCTGGGTTTGCCCTTGAGACACGCTGACGCTGACTTAGACCCTGTGTGTTCTTTCCCTCCTCAGCCCTGAATGTAAGGGCCTTGGAGACAAATGGCCCTGTGTTGTGAAAGACACCTGATTGCCCTTCTCAGAGAACTGGAACCTAAATTCAGTTGTGAAAATGGGAGAGTTTAACTAACCCCTTCAGTGTGCAGACTCAGGCTAGTGACATGCATCTCTGAAGCCAACCAGGTCACCAGGTAATGATTAATAAAGACCTATGAACCAATGAGTATAGCTAAAACCACAAATGAGCATGGGAGTCTGTGCATAAAGTCAGTGGTAGATGTCCTTGTTTGTGGATAAGAGCTGGGAGTCTGAACTTGGCACGAAGTAGCAGTAATTATCACTAGCTTGGAAATGGCATTAGTAATGGCGACAAGGCAATTTTTCCACAGTAGTGGCTGCAGGGATGCACAGATACCTTGACAGGGACATGCTGGGACAGTCTGCTAATGGTCATTCATTAAATTAAGTGTGAATTGTGAATTTCCTTTCTGTCCTTCACATCCTGATTAAAAGAGGATGAAGTTAAGACAGCTATCATGGTATTATAAGATATCAGAATGCTTCATTGGATACAATAAGCAGGGGGCAATGTAACCTGTACTTTACTTAGCTTTAAATTTGAGACAATGTATTAATTCTGCAATTTAGGACTACTAACAAACTATCCCTGAATGTCAGTAGTTTAAAGTCACATTTTGTTATAATAGCTGAGGGTTCTGTAGGTTTGCTCAGTTAAGGAAGGTCAAAGTATTTAAGATTCTCATGAACTTTTTCCTTCTTCCTTCCTTCCTACCTCTTGACCCTGTGTGTATGTGTGTGTGTGTGAGAGAGAGAGAGACAGAGACAGAGACAGACAGAGACAGAGAGCGAGAGCGAGGGAGAGAGAGAAAAGAGAGAGAAAGAGAGAGATGTGGGAGCCCACAACTGACTCAGTTTCCCAGTTTGAATCTGAAGTCTATTCTGAATCAATAAAGTTCAGGCTTGTTTGTTCCAAGGCTGTGAGAAAGTTCTGATTAGCCCACAGAGTCTACTTGAAGGACTGTGAGAAAGTCCTGATTAGCCCACAAGAAGGAACATACTGTCTAGCTAGATACAGGCTGCTGATGCTAGCCACAGGTACATTGAGATAGAAAAAGAAACTGCTCCTTGGCAGGAGGCAGGATAGACAGCTGAGCATTGTTCTACCTCTATCCTTCTAGGCTGTACATAAGCTGGCTGTGAAATAAACTCGGGGCTGTCCAGCATTGACCAGCAGACCTCTCGACTCTTTTCTGTCTTCGTCATCGTCTCTTCAATCCACATGCCTCTACCCAGCTACCCAGCTGACTGTCGGAAGGCCCAACAAGTGGCGCCCATTGAGGGGGCTGGTACAGAGGCGTCTGTGACGGACACCACAGAAGAAAAAAGAGTGTACTCGAAAAGTGGAAGCTGTGGTGAGTTAACTCGAGAGTAAAAGTAATAAGTGTAAATAAAAAAGCAGATGTGTGGTAAAAAAAAAAATGTGAATAAGTGTAAAAATAAGTATGGGCCAAGGAAATAGAAAACAGCTATTTGTACATTTACTTAAATATATCTTAAAGGCTAGAGGTACTAAATAGGATGTAAGCAGTTGTGTAAATTTTTAGAATTTGTAGAACATGTTGGAGTTAAGATACAGCGGTATTATGATAAGCATGGTCCAGAAAAACATACAACAGATATTTTCAGTCTCTGGACACTCATTCAGGACAACTTAGACCTCCATCCTGAAAGACATAAAGTGTTTCCTGAACGAAGTATAACTGAAACTAAACATTCTGCTCTGTCCGAGAGACAGCTTTATTCAGATGCTTTTACAAAGTTATTTGATGACAATGACCAGTTAGATTTTGGCAATGAGGCAGAATTAGAGGAAAAGACTGCTAAGTGTTATAATGAAGATTCTCTCACACCTCAAGATTCTCCCCCACCTCCATTCCTGACTATGACCAGTTCATCTGGAGAGAATAAGCGGGTTGTCACAGCAAACTGTTAACCCAGTGTCTCACTTTCAGATCTGTTCCCTGTGGCTGGTAAATGTAAACATGAGCACTCTTTGTCTTGGACTGTGTTGTGACTGTTACTATGTTACTGTTCTGTTCCCTGTGTTTAAGGGGACTGGATCCCCCTGACTGAACTGAGATAAGCAGGTAGCTCCTGCCAGGTGTGACTTGCCTATTGCAAGAGAAGCCATCTGTTAAACAGGACTCGCTAAGCGTGAGTGAGGCCATTGTCTCGGTGCTGATGTTCCGGTGCTTATGTCTAGGTCAGTGTTATTCATTTCTGTCTACTAATCTTCTTCATCTTCCTCGAAGAGAAGGAGAGGGAGGCACGGCAAGGGCCGCCTCCCTCCATCTTTCTATCAAGCCTGCACGCATGAGTGGAGCTGGTCTTGGTCAGCAGGAGAAGCCTGCAGCCTGCCAGCAGCTCTCAGAGGGTGAGGGTATGTGCTCTTGGAGTGGAAAGGGCAGAGCCCGAAGCTGCAGACGAAGTGGCAGGGAGTTCATTCCTACAATTAGCAAGCTGAAAAAATGTCAAAAAGAGAATCTGATGTTAATTATTAATTATTACAGTCAGAGAAGTGAACAAAAAAAAGTTTTTTTCAGGAACACGGGCATCTAATGACACACTCTGTGCCTCCTTTCCTTGCTAAGCCAAGTTCTTCACTGTGATAACATCAAGGTCTCTTCTGCTGGCCAGCAACTTCCAATTTTAACCCACTTTAACCCTTCTGTGTCCTGATACAGTGTGAGAAAAGATGTTGAATTACCAGCCTGCATACTCTGCAGTTTTGGGGAAAATTATGCTTTCGCCTCCACAGGAAAAGAAAAAATACATGGATTCCGGTCATTTGAGTTCAATGGGTTACAAATATTTGTCATCATTTAAGAGAATTGATTACAAATTATTATTGAATAAGATAAGAAAAACTTTTGCTAATCTGAAATGTTTCACATTGATACATGTTTTTAATATATTAATGCAAAAATAAGTTTTTGTTATGATATATGCATATATCTATAAGTTTCTATTCTTGTTTGAAATGTTATGCCTATGCAGTGTTCTAAACTGCTGGGAAGAAACCACAAGGAAAGGAACTTTGGTGGAAATTTGCATATTGTCTGAAAAGCAAGAGAAGGTGAAAGATTAGAATAATGATAGGAAAGAGAAAAAAGGAATTTGTCTATGTCAGGCTGAACCAGAAGAGCAAACATAGGGAAGGACCTGACCTCAAGGTAAATGGTAAGTTGTAGAATGTCAGAGAAGATGTGAACTATGCTGAATGTGAAGGAAAACTTTAAGATATAAGTGGGATTTAACCATATTATGTTAATTCTGGTTTTCTTCATTTTAAGAAAAAAGCTTCATTGAAAATTTTTTAATGTTAAAAATGGAAATATATACATGTGTATGTATGTAGACGTATTGACTTATGGGTATGAATGAAAGTTGGATCCAACTGTGTGTATGTGTGCATGTAACTATTTTTTAATTTTAAACAGCAACCATATGGTCTTCCTCCATCTTGGCTTGTGACCTCATCATAAAATGGGCAGCCATGTGGCTGGCAACAATCTTTAAATTTATTCATATATTATGTATACAGAAGAGGGTGCCAGATCTCATTACAGATGGTTGTAAGCTGGGAATTGAACTTGGGATCTCTGGAAGAGCAGTCGGTGCTCTTAACCTCTGAGTCATCTCTCCAGCCCCCAACAATCTTTAAATAAGCTTAAAGAATCTGTTCATTGGACTGGAGAGATGGCTCAGAGATTAAGAGCATTGATTACTCTACCACAGGTCCTGAGTTCAATTCCCAGCAACCACATAATGGCTCACAACCATCTGTGATGAGATCTGGTGCCCTCTTCTGGCCTGCAGTCATACTTGCTGTATACATAATAAATAAATCTTTAAAAAAAAAAAAAAAAAGAATCTGTTCATTGTATCTCCTTTTAGACTAAGGAGGCAACAATCCTCAAATATTTTAGATTGGGATAGATTTCTATATGATAATTCATGTTATAAAAATAAGGTTTAAAAAGATAAGATGTAAAAACAATGTTTAATAACATATTAAAACTGCACCTCAATGCTTTTATACACAAGAATGCACCTTGCTCTGACAGGTAAACTTTGCAATTTAAGAGTCTC